GGGACAGTGGTGACCCTTGCCAAATGTTCCATAGAGACTCCAAGCAAGCTATGGGATTTGTATGACTCCATGACCTCGCATTAATTGTCCAAGGACCTGAATGAGATCACGCTCACATCCTATGTAAATATGTAAATAGGATGTGAGCGTGATCTAATGATTGCTTTCGATGAGTTAAACCATTTGTAACGTTTCAAGCCACAACACGCTTTTTAAAAATCGTGCACAGCAACAGAGGGCTGTACATTATTGACACGAACAATGTTGCACAACCCTTTGACATTACACAACTCTTTCTATGGGCGCCACGGTGGCGAGATGTTAACTACCTCGCCAGGTATACAGGAGGTCCTGACGTCTGGTTTTTTTTGGACTTTGCGTGTTCTTCCCGTGGTCGCGTGGATTTTCTACGGGTGCTCCGGTTTTCCCCGACACATTTGGAAACACGCGTGAAGAGTTTTTGGCTGCTATAAATTTCCACACGATAAGCCACTTTGTTGAGCTATCATTTATGGCCAGGTCGCTTCTGAAATATACCTATATAGCTCAGTGGTCCTTGCCTGGTAAAATAAAAAAAGTGTATAGTTTAGTATTACTCGCATAACAACCTCTATCGGGTGTGCCCAAATCCATCTTCTCGGTCTCGTCGCACCACCCTACAGCACCGACTAAACAGGCGTCATATCTCCCCACTCTCCCAGTTCTCCCTCTCCATAACACAGCTCGTCGGGCGTTTACAGGTCCCCTACTCCCAGATCTTCACCAAGTCGCTAACCTCTTCCTTTTAGCTATAACATTCCACCGCTCATAATGGAGTTTTTTTGGGGGTTTGATCGCGTGAATATGTCGTTAAACCCGCCACCACCCGACACAGCCAATTAGTAATGTTTGTCACGTAAACAGAACATGGCAATTCGTTCCTAGTATAGCATACCGGTTTGTTCGAGAGCAAATCCACAACATTTACAATTCCAGCACTCGCTCTTCCTGTCCATTCTTTCCAAATGAATCAATCATACATCCAATGAGCCACACCGCCTTCTGGGAGTGCACATTTCATCAGCATTGGTTTAACACAATGCAAGCTGTCGACTGGTTTTGACATTCAGTATCTCATCAGCAGTCAGGCTTACTTTAACCAATGCTGGTAAACTGCCAGATGCTTATGGACAGGGGCTCATATACGAGTCCTAAAATACAGCGAATAAAATGCAAATTAAATTTCAGAAGTTAAGACTTTTTTGCAACTTTATGTCGCTAAATGGTAATACCCATTCAAATGTGACCCCTGCCTCGATGTACGTGTGTGTGTGCATGGGGACAATCGTTGCAGGTACTTTGACCTGGGAGACAAGGTGTTGTCACAGTTGCGTGAAGAAGAAGGCATGGATCCCACAGAGGACCTGGTGAACCCAAACGCCATGCCGGTCCACACACGTGGTTTCCACAGCCACCTTTGGCTTCTCTTCGAGTCGCCCGAGAGCTCCAATGCCGCGCGGGTCATCGCCATCGTCTCCGTGTTCGTGATCGTCGTCTCGATCGTCATCTTCTGCTTGGAGACGTTGCCCGAATTCCGCGAGGAAGAAACCCATTTCAAGCAAGGGCTTGCCGGCAACACCACCGACACGACAAATGTCGTAGATCCATTCTTCCTGGTGGAGACCACGTGCATGGTGTGGTTCTCGTTCGAGTTCATCGTCAGGCTCATTGCCTGTCCGTGCAAACCCACGTTCATCCGTGACCTCATGAACGTCATCGACCTCATCGCTATCCTGCCGTACTTCATCACCCTCATCACCGACTTGACGGGGTCCATGGTGCCGGAGTACGTCTCGGAGGCGGCGACCACCACAAACGCGTACAGCTCAGTGGCCACCTCCTTGGCGACCGCGAGCCCAGGCACGGCGGACAGCATCAGCGAGATCGTTCCAGCCGGTGGCCTTCCCAGCGTCACCGGGAACAACGGCCGTGGTGGCACAGTGACGGCCGGGACCGGGAGCAGTGGCAGTGGGGGGCAGACCATGTCCCTCGCCATCATTCGCGTGGTGCGTCTCGTGCGCGTCTTCCGCATATTCAAGCTGTCGCGCCACTCCAAGGGCCTCCAGGTACGCGGCGCTTAAGAGCGGCCACTCTGCTCATGGAATGAATGCCACCACCCGACAGAGCCAATGCTGTGGGTTAACTCTTCAGCACACCGGTGTGCTGAAGTAGTAACTAATGGAAACGATTTGCCTATGTGACAAACCTTACGAATTGGCCGTGTCGGGTGGTTGGCGAGCTTAACGACACATTTATATATTTACGCGATCTAACCCACAAAAACCTGTATTTTGGATATTGGTCGCGAAAGCCTACGTGTGAAATTGGAATGAATGCCCTTAACATTGTTTTCAGTGTTCCGTATCTATGTCGCTACTGCCACGGTTACCGTTCCCGTGAACTTCGCTCGTTGAATTCTCATCCTCCTCCTCCTCCCATGTTGAGGGCTTGGTCTCTACTCGACTTAATGTTTCGCCCACACACTCTCACCACACCGCAGGTCACAAACACGTCTCTTTCTGCATCTCCCCTCGCCACCGCTCCAATTTGGGATTCTCTTTTCCCCAGCTCGCATAACCTCTGCTCAATTACAGACACGTGTTAGCTTTAATCTGTACAACTTTGAGAGTGCTGTTTGTTGTTGGTCGCTCGACGTTTAAGGCCAATTGGTCAGTGCTCAACAACAAATATCATCTCCCCCCCCCCAACGTCCTCCACTTAGCCTCGCATTTTCCACATCCGTGACCCCATCCTGCCCTGTACCCTCGGTCCCTATGTCCCTTGCCTTGGAACAGGCACCAACAAATACGATATGTAGTTGTATTTCACATTCAACCACGTGGCTTTTGGCGAGCCATCGAACAAAAGACGGTCACCGCATCGCGCGCTTTCAGATGCTTCCCACAGCCGTCTGGAACGCTCTTCTCTCGGATACAGTTTAAGCAAGCAACATGAGCTATGCGCTTTTAAGTCTAGATTGAAAACTCATTTCTATAGAACTGTTTTTGGTGTTTAATTTGCTGTCCCCCCCTCCCCCACCTCCGATTAGCACGGTTGGATACGTACGGTGCGAAAGATGTTCAACGTACAGTATATACATTGTGTATACCGTATATAAAAATGGTTTGTTGTAAACACTTATTATTATTACGTCTCCAACCAGTTGTGGGCGATAGTTAAGCTATTGTTGTGGGCGCTAGGTAACGTATTGAGCACGTAAAATAATGCTGGGAGAGCACACAAGGTAGTGTGTGGTCAGCACCACGCCTGGCCACCTTCGGCTCCCCAGTGCTGACATTTAAACGCCGTACCTGGTAATAATGTATGGCTTAGTTAACCTAGAGAATGCCCGAAACAGGTTTAGATACCAGGTTCCACCGATGTCCATGTCTGGGAACAGAGCTCGCTTCACTGGTAGCACAATGTCCGATTCACTCACCACATTCACACACATACGCACATCGACAATGTAAACGTAGGTTGCATCTAAATGTACCATCATCTCAAACAACCTCAGAAAGAAAACAGTCCCTCAAAATGTGAATTTGTATGGCGTTCATACAGCCACATTGAAGGCAGTGGTAAACTTACCTTTGGAGCACCGGACGTGCTTGCTTAGGTTACATGTAGAATTGAATTTTTCAATTAAATTTTGTGCCAGTAAAAATGTGAAAAATGTCAGATGCGCTTTTAATGCCTTGCACAGATCCTGGGTCAAACACTGAAGGCCAGCATGCGGGAGCTGGGACTCCTCATCTTTTTCCTCTTCATCGGAGTCATCCTCTTCTCCAGTGCTGCCTACTTTGTGGAGGCCGATGACCCCGACTCGCACTTCACGAGCATCCCAGATGCCTTCTGGTGGGCCGTTGTGACGATGACCACGGTGGGCTACGGTGACATGCGGCCCATCACACTGGGAGGAAAGATTGTTGGCTCTCTGTGTGCCATCGCGGGCGTGCTCACGGTGGCACTGCCCGTTCCTGTTATTGTGTCCAACTTCAACTTCTTCTACCAGCGAGAGCGCGATAGGCCTGAAGCCAAGGAGTCATTTTTGCTGGAGTTGGATGACACTCACATGGACGCATCAGATCAAGAGGATGGAGACAGTGAATACGGGGTGTACGAGAATCACGTGGAGACAGATTTTTGAAGCTGTAACACTTGGCAACACCAACACTGCATTTGTTTTTAGTGTACGGTGTACAATGCTGACATACAACCAGGACTAGATACGTAAAACTCGTCAGCTTCATTGATGTTAGTTTTAAATTGAAATATAAGGTGTGACCAATACCCTCTAATGCTTCTCCTCCTTTCCTCTTACACCATAAAAATGACAAATTTATAACAAATCCCAATTGTTTTGTATTTTACAGCTTCCTTATATCATTGCCATTTGAAACGTGTATTGACTTACAAGTGTGATAGTCAACACGTTTTTATTTAATGGCATGCCTAAGTATTGATGCTGGATAGTGGGGATTATTGACCGTGTATGTGCGAGTGCTCATCATCATAGAGAAGTGCAATCATTGCACTTCCATGTAGAGATAGTGGCTAGCATATTAACCGGTTTTTTTCATGGATGTCTAAAACAGCCATAAGTCATTAGGTGTGTAACAATGTTAAGTGAAAGTAATCTGTACTTGCATCTTTACAAGTTATCTCAGCATTACTTCGGGTCCCATTGGGGCCTCTTTGCTTTTATATATATAAAAAAACCTGTTAACGAGCTCACAACCAAACTAGAAATGTTTAACATGTATATCTGCAGTTTTAGATATCGTGTTTCTCATCGCACACGTTTAGACATTCCAATTCTTAGAGGTAAACCAATAAACTCTTGCTGCAGATATATACAAATTAAAAGCAATGAGTGGAAGTTTGTGTGTAATTCAATGTATGGTTTTTCAAAATGTTAAGTTTCTTTGAACCATATAACTTTCCTTTTTGAAACCATGGACAACTGAAATTGTTTATTACGTTCACACACTGTCACCCATTGTCGAACACAGTTCAAATTTGGTTATGCAACAGCATGACAGATTTCACGAGGAGCCCTGGTGTTGCCATATTGGAAACCCCACATTGAGTTTCCGGGCTAATGCTTTAAAACAGGTAATCAATTACAAATTTAAAACTCAACACAAAGGAATACATTTTCATATTATTTGAGTAACGTAGATAAGTAAAAAAAAATAATACAATAAACAAAAACTACAACGGTTCGATCGAAACACAAGCGACCGTCATCAGGTGGGAAATGGGGGGGAAGCCACTAAAGGCGTGCCGTGTTAAAGGTTCAAAATGGGCGGCCACACCTCACCGTGCCTGGGCGCTGGCAGGCTCTCCACCATGTAGATGTCCTCGTGCGCAAACGAGCGCAGGAACGACGCCAGGCTGCTGCTGTAGACGCCCGCCGAGCGATTCTCCCTTCTTGCCCAGCTCGACGCTCACCTCGAGCGAGCCGTAGCGGCCGCTCAGGTAATCGCCGTCGCTCCAGCGCGAGAAGGCGGGCATGCGCGACGTGACGCCGCGGAAGAGCACGGGGCGACCGGGGAACACGAAGTCACGTTAGAAGGTCGGAGAGGGCAGCGCGGTCAGCGACGGCGCGTCCCCCTCGGGCGGGGCGTGCGAGCCTAGCGGCCTCACGTGGCCCGGCGGACGCTTGGGCTACAGCTTGCCATTAGTGGTTTTACCCCCCTTTTTCCTCCCGATGACGATTGCTTGTGTTGCGATCGAAACGTCGTAGTTTATATTCTTAGCGCTTTCGGTAAAGTCACGTTGAAGGGAAACAATAAAATAATAAAATATATATAAAACAATAAAAAAATTCTCACCAAGTTTCGACCATAATGCAAACCGACACACCTGATGACGACCGTTTGTGTTATGGTCGAAACGTCGTGAGAATTTTTATTGTTTTATATATATTTTATTATTTTATTGTTTCCCTTCAACGTGACTTTACCGAAAGAGCTAAGAATATGAATTACTGCAGTCACGAAAGCTTTAAATCAAAACGTCGTAGTTTGTTTGATTTGATTATTTTTTTAACCTATCTACGTGACTTTACCGAAAGACCCAAAGAATATGAATTCCTGCAGTCACGAATGCTTTAAGTGAAGAATACATTATCCTCATTTATTTACCACGGTTTCATGTTTGCAAATGCATCTGAGCACTGAATCACTCCTGGTCAAATTTGCCATTCATTATTTTTTGAGAGTCCCAGCCTCGTCCTCTTTGACGATGGTCGTGTGCGCACTCCTAAGGGCCTCTTGCATTTCCTGGAACTTGGCCAAGCAGCATGCCTCGTCCACGTCGCACCACCGGTACGCCACGTGTTCGTGTGACAGCGTCACGGCCTGGCCCTCGGTGCCACCCTTCAGCTCGGCCAGCAGGTACACCACCGTCTTCAGGTTGACGCCGCCGCCGTTGCGCTTGGGCACATTGTACTGCATCACGTGCTGGAACCCGGGGATGAGCAACAGGTGTTCAGATCCCAGTCCAGCCTCCTCGTGAGTTTCCCGGAGGGCCGTCTGTAGGTCGTTCTCGCCTGGGTCCACATGTCCTGTGGGCCAAACAACAACAACACAAACCACTACGTTACAATACAGTGGATTTTCGTGTACGATGCCTGACAAGCTCTCAATTTTACACCCAAAAGTTATAAAATGTCTTCATATATCCCTGTGCCGTCAACGTGTCTCAGAACGTCACGTTGTGATTCTCGTCTTCTCATATTCCATATATCTAAGGTGTTGAGCTTTTTTGTCAGGGCACCAGCAGTATACGTTTCCAAGTTCGCAAAGTACACTTGGATGGGCAACAACCGCTGAATGGCTGCTCAAAAAAAGGGACATGAGTCAAAGGAAAAGGACCTGGTGTAAATTTTCAGGGCAAGGCATCACTTAAAGAGGGCAAGGCCTTGCTATAATGGGCCAGGGAGAACACAACGCAGCATCCATAAGACTCCTACAACTGCCCTGTGAGTCCTCAAGATAACTTGCAAGCACACGAACATGCACGTGAATTGTGTCCAGACATGAACAATCTAGACGTGCAATCTTAACGTCCCATCACTGGAAATTTGTCTTCGCCTCCTCACAACTCATCATCCCCTCCTACGGAGGAGACCCCTTTCTTTATCTGGGGTCCTCTGTACAGGCAGTCCTCGGGTTATGAACGCCCGACTTACGCACATCCGTACTTACGAACCAGCTTGCATGAAATTAAAAACATTTACTTTGACTTAAAACGTGAACCCGCAATTGCAAAACTTGAAACCGCGGAACTATTTTGTTCAGATGAGAATCCTCCACGAGATGTAATGAGTTGGCCTCGCGCTGGAAGAAAGTGTTTGCATGTGTACGTGCAAGGACATATGCGTGTGTGTGTGCGTGTGTGTGAGCAGCGGTAGTGTAGCGGTTAGTGCGCTGCGTTACGAAAGCGACGACCCGAATTCGGTTCTTGCTCACGGCTAACACCAGCACCTGGTGTGGTGTATAAACATCACCGCTGGGGAGACGAAGGCGGTCGGGAGTGGTGTTGTACCACCTATCCCCTCGTGTGCCGTTCTGGCCTTCATAGGCCGCTGCTCACTACCAGCAACTTACCCCAAGTCTGTTAAGGCAATTCAGGAGATCGTTGTGCGCGCATGCAATTGTTACTTAGTTTTATTTCCTATAATACAGTGTTTGTGTTACATGCAAATGTACAATATTTTTTTTCCCCAATTGAATTTTATTCGGTAAAGTCACATAGGTAAAAAATAAAATCATTTTTTGTTGTTTTATTTTTTTACCTACGTGACTTTACCGAATAGAACCAAAGAGTATGGATCCTTGCAGTCACGAAAGCTTCAAATCTAGAAGTTTTAACTATGCTTTCCTTGTTCGTTGAACCGTAACACATTTTCATAGCACTGACCGTGTGAGCAATTTAAAAAAAAAATTGCAATTACAGTGTTCCGACTTACGAACGGGTCTCAAGAACTTATTAGGTCCGTGACCCGAGGAACCGCCCGTCTCTGGGTGCCCTGTGCTGGAGTGGCGCTGGCTTCCTGGATTTTGGGGATCATAAGGTTCTAGATTTGAAGCTTTCGTGACTGCAAGGATCCATACTCTTTGGTTCTATTCGGTGACTTTACCGAATAGAACCAAAGAGTATGGATCCTAAGGTTGCCCACGATATCGCACAAACCCGGGAACTGGCGTCTGCGTTTGGGTGGCAGAATTTGATTCGGACCGAGATCTGCAAGAGTTCCGACAGACCAAAAGGCTGAGACAACACGTCCGGGTTTGGGCTGCTGCTGCTGCTTGCTGTGGTGAAGGTGGTGAAGGTGACCACCGCACTGACAACCCCCGTGGGTTCACACCTTTAGGCGGGGTCCAGTGGTTTCCCCCGTACGATGTCTGCAGCAGGAGGAACTCGACCGCCGCTCGCTGCTGCTGCTGCTGCCGCAGTCTCCTGAAGACGATGAAGCCACAGGCGCGGGGACTCATTGCGGAGTTCGCCACCTTCACTGCTTGCAGCAGCAGCTGCCCGCTGCACTCTCCCTTACAAACATGGCGCCCGTGCCGCCGCCCCCTCCTCCCCCGTGCTTAGATAACAGGAAGTTGCGTCACCGCGAGAGGAAGCCGCCGGCGCCATCTTTTGTCAGGGAGAGTTTATAAGTTCCGCTGACATTACACTGATTCAGAGTTGAAGCCAATTAACTTTTACTACAGACATATTTGTAGTAAAACATGTTTTAGGCGTATTAATATATATAGAGCAGCAATAACAGTGCAGCAGAACGACAAATGCATGCAGTAGTATTGGAGGACATGGTAAGATATAAAATACAGGGACTTCTCTACTTACGAACATTCGACTTACGAACTTTCAGAGATACGAACAAACCTGCCCGTATGTCCATTTGCCTGTTCGGACCGAGAGTCGTAAGTTAAACCGCCGCGTAATAGATGCCGGTGGTGGCATCTATAGAACGTGAAGAACCAGTGGCATCTACATCTGCAGAACGTGAAGAACCAGTGGCATCTACATCTGCAGAACGTGAAGAACCAGTGGCATCTACATCTGCAGAACGTGAAGAACCGGTGGCATCTACATCTGCAGAACGTGAAGAACCAGTGGCATCTACATCTGCAGAACGTGAAGAACCAGTGGCATCTACATCTGCATAACATGGAGAACCAGTGGCATCTACATCTGCATAACATGAAGACCCAATGACATCTACATCTGCATAACATGAAGAACCAGTGGCATCTACATCTACAGAACGTGAAGAACCAGTGGCATCTACATCTGCAGAACATGAAGAACCAGTGGCATCTACATCAGCAGAACGTGAAGAACCAGTGGCATCGACATATACATGATATTATATAACTTGTCAAGCCATTCCCCGTGTTTAGTGTACACGCCGTTCAACATGTTTGAAATCGACAAAAATAAAGTTGTAGTTACGAACAAATCGACTTACGAACAGACCCCTGGAACTCTTTCGTAAGTAGACGAATCCCTGTATATAAAAACCGCTCGGTCACGATGTTTATTTTATATTCATTAAAATATTTCACCTGGACAATATCTTCAGAATGTGACATCTCGTTTGCAAGCGTGTCCAGAGTGTCGATTGACACACAGGGAGGCAAGGCTTGGGTGCAAAGTGAGTTGGATCAACGCAGTAATCCCAGTTTAACTAATTCATAGACATTCGTACTGATTGATACAGGTCCATCGAAGATTTGATCGAGTGGCCAGAATGCCACATTTGACAGGAACAAGAGTGCTCGCATTAGTCCCCAGGGCTCACGATAAATAATTACTTATATACAAAAGAATAATGTGTCAAATTTCGATTTGACGCTTTCGTGACTGCAAGGATTCATCTTCTTTGGTTCTTCCGGTAAAGTCACGTAGAATGAGAATAAAATAATAAAATAACAATAAAATTCTCACGACGCCGCTTTCGTTGTGGCCGAAACGTGAGAATTTTATTGTGTTATTTTATTATTTTATTCTTATTCTACGTTACTTTACCGAAAGAACCAAAGAAGAATAATGTGTCAAGTTTGCTAAATCAACTCGTAAAGTCCATTCCGCACGGTTTTAACTGCCCGGCTGTGTCGAGGGGCCACATTGGCACAGGTCTTGGGGTCATGTCCATCAGACAACGTAATCGTCATTACCGTACTTTCCTCCGATATTGTAAACACAGGGGGACATGCACGTCTATTATTTTATGCAGCTAACCCCATTAGTCTTTGAGTGGGATAATGCATTTTACTCGTCCAAGAGCCCAGGCCAGACGATTGCCAGTACCACATGTGGTGGCATAACATTGATGGTTCTAATTTCTCCATAAGTATGTGATAACCATATTCTATGGTTATTTCGGTAAAGTCACGTAGATAGAAAATACGTGACTTTACCGAAAGAACCATAGAATATGAATTCCTGCAGTCATTAAAGTTTTAAGTCAAAATGTATGTGATAACCAGTTGATATTAGTGGGTTATATAATGTACTGTACTCGTATTAGCCATATACATACATCGGTATTGCTAAAGTTTTGCTACATTAGGTGGTACCAACTTTGGCTTTTGCCCTTAATGAGTGGGGAAGTCAACTCGGGTTGCATCCGTGATCAGGGGGTGGGACAGGCATCGATTTGTACCGTGATCTGGTACCAGTATTGTGATTAACTTTATTATCACATTTTGATTTAAAGCTTTCGTGACTGCAGTAATTCATATTCTTAGCTCTTTCGGTAAAGTCACGTTGAAGGGAAACAATAAAATAATGTTACGGTCGAAACGTCGTGAATTTTTTTTTTATTGTTTTATATATATTTTATTCTTTTATTGTTTCCCTTCAACGTGACTTTACCGAAAGAGCTAAGAATATTTATTATCACAGTCTATTGCACAGTTTTGATCATAGACCTAAGCTGACAGAGAAATGTCCATTTTTGGTGTACATTGGGAAAGGTGACAACCTTAAAGTCAACAGTGTTTGTTTTTGTTTAACACGTAAGCTTTCGCGACCAATATCATCCAAAATACAGGGTTTGTTTTTTTGTTAGATCGCGTAAATATAAATGTGTCGTTAAACCCGCCACCACCCGACACAGCTAATTAGTAAAGGTTTAAATTTTGATTTAAAGCTTTCGTGACTGCAGGGATTCATATTCTTGGTTCTTTCGGTGTTGCAGTCGAAACGTCGTGAGAATTTTATTGTTTTATATTTTTATTATTGTATTGTTTCCCTTCTACGTGGTGACTTTACCGAAAGAACCAAGAATTAGTAAAGGTTTGTCACGTAAACAGAACATGCACCTTCGTTACTAGCACAGCACACCGGTGTGTTGGAGAGCAAATCCACAACATTTACAATCCGAGTGTTTTTTTTAAACATCTGAACTCGCCATAGGAATGTGGAATTTCCTGAATTCCTTCGCACCATCTATGGGGCTTCAAGTCTCGTGACATTGAGGGCATTAATCGCTGGGATGAGAGGCGGTGCTCATAGCGCCGCCAGTGGCCACACTCGCCGCTCAACCAGCTCCGCGCTGCCGTGCGTTGTTGTTTATGGTGGCAGCTGATTCCCAGCTCGTCTGCGAGCAGCTATAGTAAAGAGGTGAGCAGCTTTAGTAAAGAGGTGAGCAGCTATAGTAAAGAGGTGAGCAGCTTTAGTAAAGAGGTGAGCAGCTATAGTAAAGAGGTGAGCAGCTATAGTAAAGAGGTGAGCAGCTATAGTAAAGAGGTGTGCAGCTTTAGTAAAGAGGTGAGCAGCTTTAGTAAAGAGGTGAGCAGCTTTAGTAAAGAGACTCCCCCCCCCCTCGTCTCGGGAGTGGTGGAGGCCACGTCCTCAGCGGCCACGTCTCAAGAGCGGAGCGGACGGGGCCTGGTATCCGGCTCCATTATTAACCCCTTGACTACCAGCACCACCACCAGCACGCTCCTCATCCTCCTCCTCCTCTCCTCGGCTGCCTCCGCGTTGGCAACACAAGGACACGGGGGACGAGAACCGTAGAGAGATCGAGAGAAGGGCGTTCGCCAGGCGGCATGTCGGGCGCCGTGGAGCGTCTGGACGTGCTGGTGCGGGACTTCCTCGTGTTCCGAGGCTTCGCCGCGACCCTCCGGGCCTACGAGGCCGAGCTGCGCGGGGACCGCGACCGCGGCCTCCGGGCCGAGCGGCTCCTCGAGCAGCTGCAGGTGCGGGCCCCCCACCACCACCACACAAAGCCACTCGTAACAACGCTCACTCGACGAGTCCACTCGCGGTGTACACCCGGCACTAGCACTCGCCACTTTACTCGTCTCGTACGGTGCAGTTGCCACGCGCGCCCTAATTCGCCACCCTCTCTCTCTCTCTCGCGCTCATCTCGTACACAAACCACACCGAGAACGGGATCCCTGAACGCTCGACCCAGCTTCTCCATAAAGGCCTCTTTGGCGGAGGAGTCTCTGCAGCTACTCAGGGGCCATGGAACCCAATCCTCCTGATTTCCTGCTTCATGGTTTTCTGATCTTCACGCCATCCCCTCTTTGTCGTGGCCGCCCTACTGCTCCTTTCGTGTCCCCCATGGCCCACGCGCGAGCCTCTTACAATGGTCCGGGTTCTCTCTCATTTGTGAGAGAACAAAACATGAATCCCTGTATAAAAGGTTTCAGTTTTGTTGCCAAAAAAAGGGGGGAAAGCCCTACTGTTATAACAAAACTGTCCTTGAAATGTTGGCCCCGTTGCACGAGTCGGGCCTTGACTCATGAACCATCTGTGCAGTAATTCTATTCCATGTATTATTTTCGTTTTGCAATCCATCACCCTTGTTACTTTCGTAAACAACAATGTCAACCAATTCGTATGAGCAGATAGGGAAGTCGAGCAAGACGGGCCCATGCCATTATCGAAAGAGTAAATTTGGTAATGTGTGGCTATGTTCTACTTATGGTGTTTTGGCAGTGATAACATGTACCAGACTAGCTTTGCGATTGATAACTAGAGGTGTTCTATGGTACACATTTTGTACTTTTGGTAACTCCCATCGTGTAATTATCGATCAAGTGAATCATTACACTTTGGCAAGTGGCCCAACAAATGCGTAAACCGCTAAGATATACACAGTGTTTTAGTGCTTTTTTTACAATGAAGTCGGCAGCATATACACGAGTTTTATATGTTGGCTTTTCACGAAACAAAGATTCGTTTGATTGAACATTTCCACCGTTTCATGTTTCGTATAGCTATCGTCAAAAAAAATAATCACCGCTCGACAGACACTTGAGACAATAGAGAGCTTAGCTGCTGCAGCAGCAGCAGCATCAACCCGCCCAAGGCCCTTGGTGTCAGCAGGGGGCAGAGTGAGTGGGGGTGGGAGTAGTCGTGGTTTGGCGTTAGAGGTGACTTACGTGTTGTGTTGCACACAAGTGGGACATTGTGTTGTCCGCTTGCGCCCACTTGTGCAAACCGCATGCGAATTTGGGGATTCGCACTGCCTGATATGCCAGCTGGTTGTCCTGGCCACGCCAACATCACCCGGCCAAGTGATTGCTTATCGGTTGTGAATCTGACTGCAAATTTTTCTTTTTTTAGGGAACTCTCATTAGAAATATATTCTGTTTGACACTAGTTGGCCACTTATTAACACATTCTCCTGCGGAGGGAGCTGGTAGGAACGTTGGGTTGCTCGGTCAATGGCCAGGGTCAACGGCGGCACCACGTGGTGTATTCCGCAAATATGCCCGACTGTGAGGACGGGCACAAGCCGGCGTGAGTAGGTGAAACGTTGAGTTTTATAAGGGCACCACGGGGTGGCCAGCCCCCACCCAGCCCCACCCAGCCCCTCCCCACCCAGCCCCACCCAGCCCCTCCCCACCCAGCTCCTCCCCACACTCCCCTCCCTCCCTTCCCCCACCCAGCCCCACCCTCCCCACCCAGCCCCTCCCCACTCAGCACCTCCCCACCCTCCCCTCTTCACCCAGCCCCACCCCTCCCACTTTTGGATGCACGACGGACGGACGGACACAATAATCCCCTGTGGGCTGGTGTAACCAGGAGGTTCCTACCAGTAAAACTGACTTCCTGGAACAGTTTCATGTCAATGACCAAAAATATATGTGAAATTACTGTTGTCACCTCACCCTATAAAGAGGCCATAGAGTTTACGCAGATGAAAGCTGCTTTGGAATAAACACAGGAAATATATTTTTTATTTATATTAATATATAGTACGTTGAGTTTTATAAGGGCACCACGGGGTGACCAGCCCCTCCCCACCCAGCCCCACCCCACCCCTCCCACCCCCCACCCAGCCCCACCCTCCCCACCCAGCCCCACCCTCCCCAGCCCCTCCCGCCCCTCCCCACCCTCCCCTCCCCACCCTCCCCACCCTCCCCACCCAGCTCCTCCCCCCCCTCCCCACCCAGCCCCTCCCCACCCTCCCCACCCAGCCCCTCCCCACCCTCCCCTCTCCACCCAGCCCCACCCCTCCCATTTTATCCGGGTGTCCAGATACACGTGGACAGACATCCACAGACATACACAATTAATCCCCTGCCTCCTGTGAATTAATCCCGGTTGGGCTTCCAGTCCACTACGTTTCCTACCAGTAAAGTCCTTACTGGTGAGATATGAATCATAAATTTTTTCAGGAACCGTTTGAAAAGAGTCTTGGGACCAAGTGAAACTTTCTTGGGTAAACGCGTGTAATAGTAAAATAATACCCGAGGTACACAACATTGAGTTGAGAATAAGTCTGGTCAGACATTAGCATACCCAGACTTAATCAGAAATGTTTTAAATACATTAATATTTATAAGCACGTATCTCAAAACGAACGATTTAATAATCACCCGGCAATTCCTTATGAAAATACATCTAGGCATTTTTTAATTGCATTGTTTTTTCAAATATAACAGTTCTGAATACCAATTATCAGTATTCTGTCGGGGGTTCACCAAATAACACGTTACAATTCCGCTGAATACTCAATTTGTAACTGAATAGTAATTCATTTTGAAAACTTTTTTCAATAAATTTGGAAGTGTTAACTGGAGAGAGACACACAGAGATCCGGTGGCGAGAAAGTGAAAGACAGATGTATACGAAAATAGAAAACAGAGCTAGACACAGATGGAAAGTTCGAGAAAGATGCACAGAATTGGAGAGAAGCTATATTGCACAGACACAGATATGGTGAGAGAGGAAACACACACAGAGAAACAGAGCGTGTGAGAGAGACAGGAAGAGGCGGCCACCGAGATGCTCAAATATAAATACACAGACAAGTAAGCAAGAGACTGCACAGAGAGATTCAGAGTACGTTCCATTTTGCTTTTTAAATAATCGCACAGATTAACTTTTGGTTTCTATGCTACTTGAAGAAAACATGGCATTTAATTTAACATTCTGTCTAAGAAGTTACACTCCAATACATGTTAACTGCTGTGGAAGTTGAAACTTTAAAGTACGTAGAGTATTGATGCATTGACATTTGCTTTAAACAAGCTTAAAGGCACTCGAGGGGCTAGCTGTTGGAGTTCACACTTCTGCCAGAAAATGTGTTCCTGCCAAGGGATGTTCGTATTGGGAATACTCAGAGAAACGATTCTCAGCTGTCACAGTATTAATTCATTAAGGCATGTTATTAGACAAGCCCAGCCGTTTATTGAGTTTACAATCGTACCATTTTATTGCAGCGCTATTGTACGCATTACCATTGCAGTGGTGCCGTGTTCATTTCTTCCTGATGAATAAACATGGCAGAATCTGATAAATATTGTTACATTTTGAGAAATGAACCTTATGGCGGGACCCCGGGGTCCCATAAGCCCCTGGCTCTCGCATAAACATATTATAATGTAAACAAAAACTTTGCTCTTTCTCACCAATGGGTTTGAAGGATGGTGGCAAGTGTTGTCTTGTTAAACTATGCCTTTAAAACTGAAAACTACATACCTGCAGTACCTCTATTTAAATACACTATCGAAAACATCATTTACACCCCTCTGTCAATCATCGTGTTTCTCAGTGTGGATTTGTGAACACACTTTGTAAACAGTACGTAAAATAGTACGAGTTTTCAATGCGCTGTTCATATTGTAACAAGCGTTTATACCAATGTTGCTCTACAAAGTAGTGGGTCGCCGCTCCTCTTATCCGCATTGATATGAGCGGTACGTGGGGACGATGGCTTATCCGCTATAAAAAAAAACCTATCTGCGCAGATGCATACGGACAAGAGAAGTCTTATCAAGCAGGAGAAATTAACGGTGCAACGCATCTCATCTGTTAAATATCTGCAGGTAATAGGATTGTCATCGATTTATCCTGGCTGCAGACATTGGTAGGTCACAAATAATAATGAAGATAAGTGAGCAGTTTCACTGTATTATTATGCATACCGTTATGACAAATAAAGGACTTAAGTCGTGTAGGCAGTTTGAGCAGCTTTGGATAAGACTTATGATCCTGCCCATACCCAAGCATGGAGTGCATTCGCTTGTTCAGCTCCTCTGCGCGTTCGTCCTCTCTCTGCGCTTGGACGACACGACAACAGAATGATCCGCGCCAGGTGGGTCGCGGCGTTTATGTGCGCGGTGGTACGGAGTCGCCAAAAATAAATTTAGTAATGACGATTTTGACTTCCGTTTATTCGGGACCCCGGGTTCCTGCCATAAGGTTCAAATGTAGGTGCAAACAATAGTCCATAATAAAGGTTTTTGGGTTAGATCGCGTTATTTATAAATGTGTCGAAACCCTCCACCACCCGACACGTCCAATCAGCAAAAAAAGTGTCACGTTGACAAAAGACAATTAGTTCACTACTTTAGCCCACCGGTGTGTTGCAGAGTGAATCCACAACATTTACAGTTTGAATACGACGTTTCGCTGGTAATTACATCCAGCATCATCGGGCAATTCGCCAGAATAGTGTTTGCAATGTGTTTGTTTACTTTGCCGGGTTAAAGAAACCTCCCCATGGCTGCAGTATTTAGTGCCATATACGCGCTAGTAATTGCTTTTGAGCTATAATTCTTGTAAGCAGTGGAGGGTGATTGTCTCAGATTGCCGAGTCGAAGTGTCTCGCTGATAAAATGAAAATTCGGCGGCGCTCATCTCCATTGGAGATCCTAAGCCAGCGGTGAAAATGTAACATTCTAATGGCAGTGGCCAGGTCCTGTATAGAACAACTAGTTCCGACAAAGTGGTACTT